ATTAAAACTATGATGCCATTTTTTTCTAGCACTAACTTTAAATGCCTTTAGACAAGTTATTTATTTTTATGAAATGTGAATAATATAGGATCAAAGATACTTAAACTTGTGTTTAGTTGATGAAGAGTGAAACTATTTCTCCATCTTGATATATATCATGAACTTACATTTGGTATCAGTAGTTTTTTTATCAGATTTGATTGATTTTCATAAATATAATGTATATAAGAGAAAATATGTATCCATTTTATTTGATCTTTATTGGATAGTTGTTTCATTGGCAATCATACCACATCTCCTTATTTTTATGACATTGTGTTCGCCTATTTTAAAAATGTCCACATTTATTCTTTTTTTAATCAAAGTGAACGCACTGTTATTTGCAACCAGTCATTTCAAATGCCTCTAGATGAGTTATTTTTCATAAAAATTTAAATCATATAGGATTCAAAATACTAACATCTTTGTTTGTGTTGAATAAAAGTACAATTATTTCTCCATTTAAATAGAAATCAAGAACCGTCATTTTGTATCAATAATTTTTAATGGGCTGTTTTGTTTTTATAAAGTACACCGAATATAAGAGAACATATGCTGATATCGTGTTTGCATTGTTTAAAACTGCCAATGGTTCTTTTTTTTTATTTCAAATTCTATGCGTTTTTGCAATAATTAATTTTAAATGCCTGGATGAGTTATTATTGATAAAATGCGATCAATATGAAAATAAATATACAGAAACGTTTGTTTCTGTTGAATAAAAGTGCAAATATTTCTTCATTATAATAATAATCTGAACTTTCATTTGGTTTTGATAATTTTTGTTCATCAAGAAAAATTGTTTTTCATCAAATATAAAAAAATATAAGAGAACAGTTACACACATTTTGTTCGTATGGTTAAAATGCCAATATTTCTTCTTTTTATCAAAGGGACCTCGGTGGCCGAGTGGTCCAAGTAGTTACTACTGTAATCACTAGCCAGTCAACACTGAGGTTGTGAGTTCGAATCCCGCTCGTGCGGGTGCACTCGACTCCAATCTTAATTGACTAGGATTGTCAGTTTTCCTATCGAAGGTCGATGGTTTTCTCCGGGCACTCCGGCTTCCTCCATCAATAAAAACTGGCCGCCACGAAATAGCCCAAAAGCGGTGCTTAAAAGTGGCGTTAAAACACCAAAAATCAAATCAAAAAATCTTTTTATCAAAATTAATACCCCATCATTCGCATTAAGTCATTTTTAATACTCTGAGTGAGGTATTTTGCTTATAAAATGTGAACAATATTAGGATAATTATACTTCAACTTGTTTGTTTTGAATAATAGTGTAATTATTTCTTTATTTTTAAGGCAATCATTAACCATCATTGGATATATTTATTTATGAACATCAGGATGGGTTGTTATCAATAAAGTAGAAGACAATAAAAGCGTATATAACTTAAATTCCGTTCGCATTTGTTTAAGGTTTGCATTTTTCTTTAATCAATTGAAAATCATGCACCGTAATTTGGCAATATTTCAATAGCGATACACACAGTTGTTTAGAACACACCAGGTTTAATAAACAGTGCATATAGATTTACGACAATCGGAATTCTTAAATTATATTAAAATTTTGGTTTTGTGTAAATATTTCACTTAGCTTCTAACAAACGTAAAACTTTGCTGAATGATTAAAAATACAATGTCGGGCTTCTATACTGAAACGATTTGTATTCTCTGTTGCACCGCTTTGATTAGATGAAACGAAATCAAGATTCCTTAATTTGTAGGATTCAACATGTGATGTAGTAGAGTTCAAACATTTATAAAGTTTAAAAAGGCTGATCCTTCCGATAAGTCCGCAAGCTATTATAACCCTTGTGGATGTTTTGTTATACGTATCGTGTTGTAAAAAATAGAGAAAATGTAAAATAAAAGACTATATAGTGTATATGCCAAAATAACATGTGTTAAAGAAATAACAATAACAGCCTCAAACAGAGGACAGAAAATTTAGAGTTCAAATTTTGTTTTTACTGTCACTACTTATTAAACAGAATTTATGTTAACATTGAATGTGACAACACAATTTGATGTCATTGGTGTGAATGGCATGTTTTCTATTAGTTTTAACACTTGTCAATAACATTTGAGGCACTGGTAGCTCGAATTGGAGGTTCGTATGCTGGAACTGATTGCATAAACGGTACATCAACGACATTTGAATCAGGTTGGACAAGATTATTTTCCATGGGTTCCATAAGCTCCTCAATTTGTTCCTGAGATAATTGTAATTCCTCGTGTACTTGGAATTGCATATTATCTGTCATTACCGAAGTGGATAGAGAAGTGCTAATTTCGAATCTCCTAGTCGTTGACACTTTTCCAGTTTTATTTTTGATTGGACTCTCATATTTATGTACTGACACGGACATGATATCCCGATTAGATTTTTTTTTGATATCATGAACAGTTATGCTGGTTGCACGGATTGAATGGTTGGTAAATTTTCTAGAGAGAACAGTTTGTTTTGAGATAGTCCTTATCAAACTGGAGAGAGTGTTTATAACCAATGCCTGGTTCTAGTACCATACATCTTGAGAGTCTGTGAACTGATAAAGACGTTTTTGCCACAAATCATTGCCTCTAGGATAAAGTTTTGAAAGGAACTTCCGAAAACTTGCAACTGAGGACAGTGGATGACCTATTATATAATATTAAAATAAAGAATTTAAGAAACAATGACAATTTTTTTTATTCATACATGTACAACAAGAATTACACTTAACGCAAAGACAAAATTTATTTTTATAAAATACGGTATGGTTTGTTTCATTGAATACAAAGAGTGGCGCATTACTACATGAATAGGTACAGATGTATGTAAATATATAGATTAATTTGTATTTGTTTATTTGATACGCAATTGTTGTTTTTAAAGTAACACATTCGGTGACGGTCACTTTTTTAATTTAATTTGTGTGATAAATGTGGTAGTGTCTCATCTGTGTTGATTCTTAACCCTGTGTGTAATAAAAATAAAATAAAATCGATAATATATTAATTTAAAAATGCTGCTCAAACACGTACATCATGATGTAAATTTAAGTTCATGTATGACCTACCATTTACTGTATACATATGTGCCTCTTTTATGGTTTCATCTGTTTCTCTGTGGTATTTGTCTAACTCATCTACTATTTGGTATACTTATTCCCTGACTTGTTAGTCCTGAGTAATGGTAAATGTTGTTTTATTCATACCTCTGAGATTTTCTCTGCGTCTTCTGCACAAATAACACATTATGTCGAAGCAAACTTTTTGAAGCAGTCCATAAGGGGTATCTGTGTTCAAGGCAACCCTGCCATATAATTTACCGAGAGCATCCTCGTCCAACGAAGGTGTGTGATCTGTCTTTTCTAGGTCCTGGCGCTTCAGCTGTATCGTTACTGCATTAAAATATGATTCGCTCTTTTGAAACGTATATTTTTGATAATGTCAATCTCCATTTCTTTTAAGTGTCTAGATAATCCAAATCTAATTGACTTAAATGCCAAATGTTAGTACCATTTTTTTATGAGCGTCTGCGTAAAACTTACAAAAAACTGCATTAGGTTCATCTGCTGTTTCAAAGTCAATGACGTCCCTGTTCTCAGCCAAAAGATATTGTAAAAGCACATTCATTGCTGCCTTAGTGCCCTTTTTAGTATTTGAAGCATCTTTATCTTTAAGCAGCTGGTTCAAAGCATTCTAATCAGAATGACCAAAACGCGAATCTTCTCCTGCGGAATCTATATTTGTTTTTGTTTATCTGACGTTAAATGACGTCAAACTTTAAAGGGAGTTAACTCGTGACCATTGAGGTACGACAAGGGTTATTCATCTGGGAATAATAGGGTTGTTCGATGGAGGCTTCAAATTGTCGGGGTTATTCACATCTCTTAGAAATTTTTGGAAAAAATCGAGAATAAACTATGACACGTGTTTCCGTATTAGCCAATCAAATAATTATTATATAATGCAAGGACTAATAATAACCGAAAACAAATATGATATACAGCTACAAAAGACAACCACTGAATTACAGGCTCCTGACTTTGGACGGGCACATACATAATATGGCGGGGTTTAACATGTTTCCTAGCTCCAAACTCTCGTGTTTATTTTTTATAATCTACTGATCTTTAGATTTGGCATTATAAATCGATGCTTTCTGATAACAAAGTTTTTAAGCTATCACATGTTATCAGGACTGCTACATTTGGAAAGGGATCAGAACTAACATATTTTATTTAAAATAGAAATGACTTGAACATATGATGTAATTTGAAATATACGTTATCTGTTTGTTTTTGACCTGGTAATTGCAGATCACGGAGAAACTTTTATTTCAAACAAAGTTGTATGTGTACTGTATTTATTTAATCTGTATTGTTTCTATCAAGAAACAAAAACATTTCAAAATATTGTATAAATCGATGTAAAGTGGTCCTAGTCATAAGTTAATATATTGTTTAGCAGACCAGACAAACATTTACTTTTAACCAGGTTTAATCCACCATTGTCTACATAAGGAAATGCTAGTACCAAGTCAGGAATATGACAGTGGTTTTCCATTCCTTTGATGTGTTAAAGCATTTGATTTTGCCATTTGATAAAAGACTTTCCGTTATGAGTTTTCGGTATTTTGTTATTTTACTTTTAAGATTTGGTATGGTTCAATCGGGTTGTCAAGGTCGAAGTTAACTTCTGCAGCGGATCGTCTAAAGTTAACTGTTGCGACAGTCATACAAAAAATTATAGGACCATGTCTGCTTTTTCAAGCTAACTTGATTTTTGTCCTAGAACCGGTCGGAGCAGTTCTTCAATCTGCCGTAGGTTACTCTGTCCAGTCAACATGACTGGTTATCAATTTAAATTGCTAATCATACCTCATTAACTTGTTTTTTTATCTGTGCCTCAAACAAATATTTGCACGTGGGCAATTCACTTAAGGAATTCATCATTCTTTTATAGCTCGCAGTAGCAGACGTGGTATACAGTTCTGGACAAGCAGGTACATTTTTTGTCAGGTCTTATGAAATAAAATCATATATAGTTTTATATAGATTAGACCGTTGGTTTTCCTGTTTGAATTGTTTTACACTAGTTATTTTGGGCCCCTTTATAGCTTGCTGTTCTGTGTGAGCCAAGGCTCCGCGTTGAAGGCCGTACTTTGACCTATAATTGCTAACTTTTTATACATTGTGACTTAGATGGAGAGTTGTCTCATTGGCACTCATACCACATCTTCTTATTTATAGGTAAGGTGTGAATAAATAAAGGCAACAGTAGTATACCGCTGTTCAATAGTCATAATTCGATTAAGCAAAAAACAAATCTGGGTAACAAACTAAAACCGAGGGAAACACATCGACTATAAGGAAAACAACGGAACAACAGAAACACTGAACTACAACAAAAGCAAACGCCAACATACATAGAAACGGACTGTGTAATTACACTTTCCATATTCCTGACTTGGTACAGGACATTTAAAAAAAATGGTGGGTTGAACTGGTTTTATGGCTAGCCAAACCTGCCGCTTATATGGCAATGTTTAAAATAAAGCTAAAATGACAATACTACGTGACAGGAATACAGTACAAACACTCAGCACAGAGAAATACATAAATAAATAATATAATAGTACATTACAACATGTAAGCCGCAGAATAACAACGGACACCTCCCATGAATTTACGACAGCACACCAGGACACCGCAAACGAAATATAAACTGCGCGTCACATGAATGGATCAACGTCACAAAATGTTACGTAGTTTTTGTGACTATCACAGGTAAATATCTAAAAATAAAATAGATTTGTTTAATTTATAGACACGTACAAGAATATAAATTAGGATTGAGTTTGTAATGGTGTTATTTTATGTATTTTTTAACCATGTTGGTTTTTCTTCTAAATCAAAACTGTGTATAAACAAAAAAATCCTGTGCATATAGTTGCCTCAAACTTAAAATCATATAGATAAAGTAGCTGATTTTTTATCTTAACTTTTTTATTTTAACGTTTTAGTTTGTAACCCGGATTTGTTTTCGCTTAATCGATTTATGACTATTGAACAGCGATATACTACTGTTGCCTTTATTTACATACAAATATAAAATAAAAATAAAAATAAGATAACTGTAATATAAGGCAAGATCATGTAAGACCTAACAGTAAACACACATAAAAAAAACAACATAAAACAAAAAACGATTTACATATAACACTCACCGGATTGTTCTAGATATATCGTATTCTACTAGACAAAAATAGTGTGGCTGTATAATAATCTGAACAATATATCACTGGCCTATTTCTATTTGATCAGCTTCGGTTAGTAGATTTGGTCGAGATTTTAGTTAGCGACCCGAAGGGATAATGAAAAAGAGTTGATTTGAATTATAGGGTAAGATTATATTCTATGAAATTGTTTCAGAACCTATAACCTTTTATACTATTAAATTGTCCTTATTAAGACAATATTGGTCATTTCTCTTTCATAGAATAGGGATATCAATCATTATTAAGACGTGACTGTGGATACAATAATTTCAGTTTCTAAACTACGGTATTTTGCTATGCAGCTCTAAATAGAGTCCAGTGATTCCAAATTTTTCGTATCTCCTTTCATATGTGCTTATGTAAAATGCTTCTGAAAGTAATATCAATTACCTGTACTTCTAGTCACCTAATTATACCCTTTCTGCTTATCATCCATACAGAATAGAGAAAAAAAGTCAAATATATTTTTGGTGAACAAGCATTATGTCTAAAACGTTTTAATATATTTAAAAAGTAACACAATATCAATAAGTTTTTAAAAAAAGAAAAAAAAAAAAATCCGACTTGTCTTATGAAGGCGTCAATGAATCACAAACTTTAATTGCAGTATGGAAGGAAGCTATCGACATAATAAAAGACACCTTTATGAAAAAGAAGAAAAGAGCCAGGAAAAAAGGACGGTTCATTTCAACAAATACAGTTACCTTCACAAAATGGTTACCCACTAATTTTCCTGTTGGTGGTGTCATGTGTGGTTGTGGAAGAAATCTCAATACGCCGAAATCGCTTTTATGTCATTTACGAAGAAAAAGCGACACAGCCCGAAAACATATAAAGTTATTTAAAAAGGGCATTTAATGAAACCAGTTAACAAGCTTTTGGAGACGTTACATAGTTACATGCATATTTCATTTACATGACATCACTGACGGCTGAATGATGAAGCATATAAATGTGCAAGATCAACGTTCTTGATTACAATGTTTAAAGTCCTTTGATTATATTAATTCTTCAGATGATATGCCCAATTTTTGCCATTATTTCATAGACGCTTTCTGTTAGCCAGACCCGAAAGTCATGAAGCAGATAACGCATGATAAGATGAAAATAAAATATCCATCATGTTCTTTTTTCCCCACAATAAATCTCATAAAATCACTACATATTTGTATTCTTCGATTAAAACTTTAACATTTGCAAGTAATTGTCGGTTTTTAATAACCTGATTGCAAACACAACTAACTAAAAAATTGAGCTAGGGACTGTTTATCCTTCCGATCATTTGTGTTTGACAGGGGTTCATGCAATCTGATTAAGATACATACCCTCTGTGTCCAAGGTTTGCTTACAAGGATCTGACAACGGTCCTTTCTACTTTCTGTTTTAAACACCTTTCGGAATCGGATGAATACAACCCTTTAAAAATTTGTAAGCTGAAATTTAATTGGCTGATGCAGTACCTGCTAGAACATAAGGTAAAGCTTAGACACATGATCTGTATTTTAATCAGATCGGGGTTTATGTTGCATTTTCGATAGGTAATTCATCGGTTTAGAGATATTTTATTTCCGAGGGTATATTTTGTTTTAAGTTAGCAATTCATTGTCTTTAAAGATCGCCTTTTCCTTTCAAACCTTCAAACCCCACCATCGTAAGGGTTATATAAGTTTATACAACAAATAGTCCTTTGAGTAACATAAACTATCTGCCATACACTAAACTGAAGTTAAGGCAATCTCCATTAGGTCAACGTAGGACCTTGAACAATTAAGAGAGGCGAACGATACTATAGGGATTATATCCAATAAGACAAACAACACAAAAACACAATACACATCATAGAAAACGTTAGACTGAGCAACACGAACCCCACCAAGAACCGACCATAGGTGCTCAGGAAGGGTGAGCAGATTTGGCTACACATGTGACATCCGCCTAAATACTCCTATACAATACGTCGATAAGATTTATCAAGTGATTAGACATTACAAAATAGCAGATTAGTAATTGACTCTAATATAACCCAAATTAATAAACCACTGGTAAAGTAAATGTTCCAATCCTGCAACTTGACCGACTGTACAAATTTGATATAGAGACATGTTTTGGGTTACAAAGGATAGACGATACTATATCCGGTGTTTCTTTTTTTCCAAATTGCTCGTTATATCCTTAGGATGTTTGTCCAATTTTGAACGAAGATATACGAACACTCCATATGAGTTATTTCCCCTTCTGTATTTTACATAAGTGATATCTTAAAACCGTAAAAGAAATCGACAAATTTATTTTTCCAAATTGCTTGTTATATCCTTAGGATGATTTGTCCAATTTCAAACGAAGAGATACGAACACTCCATATGAGTTATTTCCTTTTCTGTATTTTGCATAAGTGATATATCAATGTATCACATCAATGGTAAGTGATATAGACCTAAGTATTTTGATCATAGGTCCTTGGTTCACAAAGATGAATTTGAGGTCAAGGTTAAAAGTCAAGGTCATGTTCTCAATTTTGACTTTTCCTTGTTTTATGATTTGTTCTGACACTTTTAAAGATATGTATAAGAACTCATTGCCTCATTGTGATGAAGATATTATACCTTTGGTCTGAAAAAATCCAATGAAAACTTAAGGTAGCACAATACAAAGATTTTATACCTCCTATTCCCCAGTTTTATAATGCTGTAACTTTCTTTATAATGCTTGAAAATATATAAAATTGGTATTTATGGATAGCTAACAGATTATTCTTTCAAATCAATGCAATGTTAGTATTATACAACAATTATGTAATTAATCATAATGTTTACTGTGTCTACAAAATTTTACAAGAAATTTCCACTTTCAATTAAAATTAGCTTCTTCATGGTTATCCCGAGAGGGTTGATTTTATTATAAGTTGTTCCTAGAGCCATTATCTACAAAAGGGTGTCTCAGATTTTGGATAGAATGTATAGATCAAATTTTACACCTAATCAAATATTATCTACTTTTATGTGGTAAGGATGTTTACACTAATTAGAGATTTATGAGAGAATGGAATATGATAGCGATAATTTGAGACACCCTTTTGTAGCTCCTGCTGTGTTGATTAAGATTTCGTTTAAATTTCCTGTATAATTATAGAGAAGAAAGAACTAATTTCATTCCAGTGAACTGACCAAGATTTTGCCATTAATTGCATAATAATTGATTACATAATGATTGCATAACAAAAATATTGCCTTCATTTAACAGATTAATTTTTTATCTATCTATATGTAACTCTTTTATTAATTTATATGCAGTCTTAAGAAAGTAACAGCATTTTAAAGGTTGGAGATTGGAAGTAAAAAAATCTTTGTATTGTGCTACCGTAAAGAAGTTATTACCCCTGAAGTGTTTTATTAAAAGGGAAATTGATTATTTCTTCAGATTGATACATGATTAAGCCATCAGGTCTTTTGCAAAATGTTGGTCGACATATGACCTTAAAAAATGTCAACCGGAAGTGACCTTGAGTGAACTGGAAGTAGTAATTTTTGCACTTATTTCATTGAAAAGTACATAGAAACCATATGTTTTTAAATGGGCATACATAAACCTATCATTTGAGATAGGAAGTGACATTCTTTAACCGGAAGTAGCAAATTATTTCAAATATTACAAGTATAAACAAACTATATATTTTTGGAATCAGTGTGAATAAATCTATCATATGAGACCGAAAGTGACATTTTCTA